AAGAGTGGGTTCATCCTGGAGAGGGGCTTAGTCCTAACTGGATTTCTTACTGGTTTAGGAGGTCACTTTCAGCTTTACGAGGCTGTGAAACAGCTTAATCTTGTGGATTACGTGACTCCTGATGTGTTTTACAGCTGCTTACATCTCTTTCCTGTAGATGTTATTAAATCTGTAAGTGCCATACCGGCAGAAGATGGCACTGGGCAACCTTGGGCTAAAATTGCCACCATTGCGGCCAGAGCCCCGTGGGTCCTTCACGGCTCAACGCTCAACAGCGTCCAAATTACGGAGGTGGAATCGAGGAAGAATGTCTACACAGCAGGTATCCAAACCGAGTCTAGGGACTGCAGGGTGGGTGTCAAGAGGATGGGGCCAAGCTCTTTCCAGTGGTGTCCAGTGACAGGACAAGGGGCAACGGGCACAAACTGAAGCAGAGGAAGCTCCAGCTGAAGATGAGGAAGAACTTCTTCCCCCTGAGGGTGACGGAGCACTGGCCCAGGCTGCCCAGGGAGGTTGTGGAGTCTCCTTCTCTGGAGATATTCAAGACCCGGCTGGACAAGGGCCTGTGCAGCCTGCTGTAGGTGCCCCTGCTTTTGGACTGGGTGACCCACAGAGGTCCCTTCCAACCCTGACCATTCTGTGATTCTGTGACTGCTTCTGGAAAGCTGGGGTTTGGGTAAAGGAAGGGCAACTCCTCAAGCGGCAAACGTTTCCCTGGGTGAAGGGTTATGAAGATATTTGCGGAAGGAAGCTTGTCTTGAGCAAAGAGGTTGCAACGCTCTGGTCCACCTCCAGCTTCTGGCTGCTCCCGTGACTGATTTCTCAGGCTTCTGCCCCAGACCTGTGCCCGACGAGAGCGCCGTGGGTGGTTTCAGTGCAAAGAGTTGGGTTAGCAGGGGGCTGCTGCCTCTGTTGTCCCAAACGAGGGACATTGGGGGTCACTGAAATCGCTTGGGGTCGTGGAAATAGGTGTCAGGTTCAGAGCGAGCTCTGTGTTGCTCTGTGATCTGCCCGTGGGGACGGGAGGAGGGTCGTGCCAGCCTCGTTAAACCAGCCCTGCCCTAACCCAGGGTGGTGAATCCAGCTCTGCTCTGTTGGGGCTGCTGGAGACCATCTGCCCTCACCTACCCAGCAGGACTTGGTCCCCACACACCCCATCCCCTGGTCTGTGTCCAGCGTGCTGGGCAAAAAAGAAAGGCCCTGGCCTGCGTCGGGTCCCTCACAGGAGCTCAGACAGAGCTAGTGTTAGCCGTGGGTGTGCGTGTCTCCTCCTCCTGGGTGTGACTCTGTTGGGGCTGCTGGAGACCATCTGCCCTCACCTACCCAGCAGGACTTGGTCCCCACACACCCCATCCCCTGGTCTGTGTCCAGCGTGCTGGGCAAAAAAGAAAGGCCCTGGCCTGCGTCGGGTCCCTCACAGGAGCTCAGACAGAGCTAGTGTTAGCCGTGGGTGTGCGTGTCTCCTCCTCCTGGGTGTGAACACCACCTTTTGAGGGGTACAGGCTGCGCCTGCTCCGTGTGGATCCCGGGCAGGGAAAATTT